ATATGTGTGTGTGTGTGCGCGCGCGCGCGTGTGTGTGTGCATCCATCTTTTTCGGTGTAATTCTTTGTCAGTTCTTGATTTCATCTCTGCAACTTTTTATGAAAAAAAAAAATAAAAAATACCTGCAACTTAGCTTAACCCAATCTCCACCGTTCTATCTCATAATCAATCATGAAACGAAATATTCTTTGTTTCAATTTCTTTTAGCTTTCTAGAATGTTTTCTCCCTCTATTTGTTTTGGGTATCTTTTGAAGTGGCTATAAGAGTGGCGCAAAAAAAAGGTTGATTTTTGCAGGACTTTAGGTGAATATAGGAACTGAGAGGTCGATTTCAAAGTTTGGTTTTGAGGGATTGTGGTTATAGTGATGGGCACAAGAGGATGACCCACTTCATTAGGTCTCATAACGAGAATGAATTGTGGTGAAATTGGGCACTCATGGAGAGATGAATGAACCGTTATACCCAATTGAACAAGAAATCTAGATGTTTTGGCAATGGCGATTCCATAAATGACTGAAAAAATTGCACAAATTTCTCTAGATTCGATTATGCCTCATTCAATCCAAAACTTGATCAGGACAAATTGCTCCGGCGTATTTTCAGAAACCTTGAATTGACGGCATTACACCTTAAGCAGTTTGAAGTTGCAGTGGACCGAGAATTGTTACTCTGATGGTGAAGTTTAGAGAGAGAAAGATGTGGTATGTGTATATTTATATAGAACCTTATATTTACAGTGTTGTCCCAATTTAATTGGCTTTTGATATTATATTTTACACATCAGCAAGTTAAGTTTCTAAAGCTTTGAAACCACGTTGTTTTTTATAAGGGCAACAGGGACTTCTGGCTTTTCCAATACTAGAAGGTGAGCTGAGTAAAATGCAAAAAAAAAAAAAAAAAAAAAAAAAAAAAAAAAAAAAAATTTTGGGAGGTTTCTTGTAGTTCTGGGGGTTTCTTGCAATACCTCTATAGTTTAGGGTTTTTTTGCACTTTACCCTATTTATTATTATATTATATATTGACAAGTGATGTAAAAAATGCAATCTTATTTTTATTTTAATTTTATATATAGATTGCTTTGAGTTTAATACTTATATTTATTATGTAATATTCTTTTCTTTTTAAATAGACTACACCAAATTTAATACTTATATTTATCAGGGTAAAGTGCAAAAAACCCCCTTGAAATATTGGCCATTTGCAATTAACTCCCCTGAACTACAATTTGCCCTTTGAACTATTGAATTTTTACAATTAATTAACTCCTGATGTGACATCTCTGGCCAATTGATTATAACGAAAATAGTGAAAGACAATTTTACCCTTTACATAAAACGTTGTCGTTTCACTAAAAATTTCAGCAACCACCAATTTTAGCCCCAAAACCGAGTCCAAGTCCAAACCCGGGGAAAATAACCTAAGCCCAGACAGGGCCAATCAAGCCACATGACCTAAATAAGGCCAATTCATTCTGCTGAACAAAGACCATCAAGCTCTCTGTCGATGTCAAAGCTAACCCCAATCTGGTGGCCATCATCCAAAGCTAAGCTCATAGCCGTTCAGTCCCGCCGACCGCCATCAAACCCAATCACTGCCGAGCTTCTTCATAACAGCCCATCACCGGAATCGCGACTTCTTTAGTCGCTGATTCGCTGCTGTCCCAAACTAGCCGTCTCCACCGCCCGAGCACATTGCCGTCCGTGTTCCCAACACCGACGCAAGTCAGCGCCGAGCTTTGCCTCATCAGCCGACCTTTCCGTTCCGAGCTTGCCGTCACCTCCATCACAACCGACACCATCAAATCCGAGCTAGCCGCCCCAAGCTCTCCACGGCTGAGCCAACAGCCAAGTTCTCCACAGCCGGTCGATTCACCATCCATCTCCACCAACAACCAAGGAATTCTAAGGCACAATGATTTAGAAATTTTCAATTTTGTTTATATTTTATGCAATTGATAATGTTTTATGTTTTCATGTGTCCATGGGGTGAATTTATTTGGGATTTTCTCAATTTAGGGTTATAAAGTTGATTCATCTTCAATAATTTCCTTCAAATCGGAAGCTGTTCAGTCAAGGATGCATTGACCCAACTTTTGATTTTTTGATTTTTTATTATTATTATTTTTGGAAGAAATTAAAGATCATGAAGTAACAACAGTAGATTCATCTGGGGTCATGTTTAATTGTCCTTGCTGTTTGGGTTGAAGATTTCGATGGAGGTGGTGGTTAACGATAAGGGTGTGTGCATATATATGTGTTTGTATTCATGATGGATATAATATAGAAAGAGAAAGAATTAGAAACTTTCACGGGCACCGGAGTTGCTGATGTAGGTGGTTGATGATAAGGGCATTGTGGTCTTTTAGCTTCATAAAGGGTTGTATGGTCATTTAAAAAATTTTGGGTTGTCACGTGACCTGCATGTGTTTCTTCACGGTCAAATTCAACTGGCTTACCACCGGACTGGGTTAATTGCAACAAAATGGTTAGTTCAGGGGGTTATATGCCAAATTATTAGATCAAGGGGGTTTTCTACTAAATGGCCAATAGTTCAAGGGGTTTTTTTTTGCAGTTTACCCTATTTATTATTATATAATATATTGACAAGTGATGTAAAAAATATGTAATCTTCTTTTCTTTTTAAATAGGTTATAATGAGTTTAATGCTTATATTCATTGTGTAAGCTTTCTCTCTTTACAGGCATATTACACCAAGTTTGATGTTTTTGTTTATGGGAGGCGATATTCACACTCCACTTTTCAATGTTTGCACTACAATTATTAAATGAAATGACAATTCTAACTCTAACTTTACAAGTAAATAATTATTACTTTTTAAATGACAAAACTGTCCTTTTAGATTTTCTCTCCTTATCTCTTATCTCTAATATTTAATATTATTTTGGGTCTCTTTTGACAAAAAAAATAAATAATTGAATAATTTTTTTATTTACGGGACCAAGAAATAAAAAATTATGTTGAATAAATTGACTCTTTTGACCGAACCAAAAATATAAAAAGTAACCATTAAAAAAAAAAACCCGAAAAAAATATTTATTGAAGAAATTATCTTTTTTGTCAAGATCTCCAAAAGAGAAAAAAGTATGAAAAGAAGAGGATTAATTTTTTTTTTTTTTATCTATATTGAATAAATTATTTCTTTTGATAAGACCTAAAAAAAATGGGGGTTATTTTTATCTAATAAATTATTTCTTTTAACAGGACCCATAAAAAATTATGAAAAAAAGGTAACTCTTTTGACTGAAAAAAAGTTAATTTTGTTGAATAAATATCCATTTCAATTTTTTAAAAAAGAAGTCATTATGGAATAAATTATTTCTTTTGGCCGTCAAAAAATAAATTATTAGTATAGAATAAATTATTTTATTTGAGAGGATCTCAGGAAAAAACAAATAGAAAGGAAAAAAAAATAATAAATAAAGTAAAGAAGGTAAAAAAAAAAAGGTTAAAGTTGTATAAAGGGTAGTTATGATATTATAAATTTAGAGATAGTGCATTAATGAATTCAATAACCTTTTTGTCATTTGTTTAAAAAAAATAAAAAGTAAATATAATACAATTGAAGAAAAGTGTAGTGCGAATATCGTCTCCTTTTGTTTATTATTATATTTTATAATGACAAGTGATGTAAAAAATTATAGACTTCTTGTTTTTTCAAATAGATTACACTGAGATACTTATATTTATTATGTAATCTTTTCAAATAGATTACACCGAATTTAATGCTTATATTTATTATTATATATTAAGAGTATATTGACAAGTGATGTAAAGAATGTAAAATTAGATTACACCTAGTTTGATGCTTATATTTGTTATGTAACCTTCGTCTATTTTTAGGCAAATGACACTGAGTTTAATACTTATGTTTATTATTATATCTTATATTGACAAGTGATGTGAAAAATGTAATCTTGTACCAACTAGAAATAAATGTATTCATGTTACTTTTTCCAATAGATTATACTGATCTTAGTGTGTGTATATATTTATCTTATCTTTTAAAATAGATCTTCTCTTTTAAAATAGATTACACTGATGTTAATACTTATTTTTATTATGTAATTTTCTTCTATTTTCAAATAGATTACACCAAGTTTAATGCTTATATTTATTATATTAACAATCGATGAGAGGAAAAAGAGGAGATTTAAACAAAAACTCAGATAACTAAAATTAACCTTCTTCTATTTTCGAATAGGTTACACTGAGTTTAATACTTCTATTTATTATATTGACAATCGATCAGAGGAAAAAGAGGAGATTTGAACAAAAACTCAGATAACTAAAATTAACCTTCTTCTATTTTCGAATAGGTTACACTGAGTTTAATACTTCTATTTATTATATTGACAATCGATCAGAGGAAAAAGAGGAGATTTGAACAAAAACTCAGATAACTAAAATTAAAAAGTTGTACATAAACTTGTTTAGTTTCAATTTTATGAAAATATAGTTAAAAAGGAAAAAAAAAAAAAGTACAGACCCATTATTTATTGAACTCTAAAATTCGGTCTTAGATTCAAGTTCAAAATCCATCATTTATGACATAAAATCTCCCTCATTAACAGCAAATCTCATTGTAATAATTATATGTATTTATCTCAACTTTCAATTTGTACAGGTCAGTAAATTTCACACCTGATTTAATAAATCCTCATTTATTGTCCTTTTATGCAAAATTAAGTGCTTATTCCCAAAAAAAAAAAAACTCATTCTCACATGTTTTGACGTGGCATTAAGTGATTGGTCACATGCACATGTCTGAACAACCAAGATTGGTTCATCCAAACCCCAAATACCAAACTTACGCCAATAACACGTGACAAAATAATAATGGTTCAAAATTAAAATAGTCAAAGGTCAGTAATAGTGTCATTCGAGCTCACACGAGCTTGACTCCACTGGATCACCAATCGACCGTAAGACAGCGAGTAATCTTAGGATTTGTTTGTTTTTTTAGGTCTGAGGTTAATCTAATCCCTTTCCGCTTCCAAGTTTTGATTTTCCGAATTTTTGAGATATACGCAATGGAGGGAAATTAGCCACACTACTCCTAAAGTCAATACACACGGTCACACACATACAAAAAAACAAAAAAAAAAAAAACGTACAAAAGGTAAAGCCCTCGATAAACCATGCCTATTACTAATCCCCAATCTTTCTCTCTCTAACCCTTCTTTTTCTCTCTCTAAAACATGAATTTGGTCTATTGTGTCTGATTCTTTAACGCCATTGCTTCGATTCTTGGACCTATACATACAGTTCTTGCGTTCGCATCGGCTTGTCTGCTGATTATGGTTTCTCTCTGATTCTGGTAAGATTTATCTGTATTTTGTTGATAGCTTCTGATGTGTGTGTGTGTGTGTGTATATATTTGTTGATTTTTATGATTTTAAATTTCGTTTTTGATTTTGTTTGATGTGATTTAAGAATAGTGTTGATTATGGTTTTGCTTGAATTTGAGTGAGCTCGTGTTGAAGATTTTAAATTAGATTGATTTTATGTGTGTGTTTACTTTGGTTGGGTTTGAGTTGCTCATGTTTCAAGATTTTGAATTAGGTTTTGTGGACGCTACGGTGTTGATGATCTAAGATGAAAGAGGGGTTGAGATCCAGTACTTTGTTGGTAAATTCTGAGGATGATAAAGTCGATTCAGCCACACTCGATGGTAATGAGGAGCAGAAAGGGTCAGTCTTGAATTCAACTGATTCGGATTCTGCTAAAGGCTTGTTGGTTTCTTCCCCAGAAATAAAAATTGAGGGGAAAGACAGTGGGTGTGAACAGGTGGGATGTGCAGAAGATGAGCATGCCAGTGGTGATGAGGATGCTGACAATGCCAATGCTGATTCCAAAGCAGTTGGGCCTAAACCAGGGGGACTGCGTCGGGGGCGGAAAAAAAGAAGGGTGGAGAGTTCTGAATGTGATGGGGATAAGGAAAAAAAAATGCCGGTTGATTTGGATGATGTTAAAGACTTGTCGGTGTGGTCCATAGAAAGAAAAGCTGAGGAGAGGAAAATTGGATCACCAGATGTGGATGCCAATGCCAATGCTGATAATGATACATGTAGGGCTATCTGTGGGGGAGTGCGAATTGGATCACCAGATGTGGATGCCAATGCCAATGCTGATAATGATACATGTAGGGCTATCTGTGGGGGAGTGCGACGGGGCAAGAAAAGAAGAAGGGTGGAGAGTTCTGGATGCCACGGGGATGATGGGGAAAATAAAGAGAAGGTTAATAAGGTGTATTTGAAGGGTAATATTGAGGTGGTTGGTAGGGTTTTGCGTCCTAGGGTAACATCAAGAAATGATGGTGTGAATGCAGTTGATGGTGTACTGTGTGGAGGTGTTGTGGGTGGGAAAAGGAAGAAGGAAAGTGAACAGTCAGACTCAGATAAGAAAATAATTAAGATGGAAAAGGATGAAAGTGTTCAGATGATTGGCAGGCCAGGGAAACAATTAAAACGGCGTGGAAGACCTCCCAAGGTGCAAGAAAAAAATGGGGCGTCTAATGTGAATGGTGATGACAGCAGGCCAAGGAAAAAATTTAAAAAGCGTGGAAGACCTCCCAAGGTGCAAGAAAAGAATGGGGGGTCGAAGGGGAATGGTGATGACTGCAGGCCAAGGAAAAAATTAAAACAGCGTGGAAGACCTCCCAAGGTGCAAGAAAAAAATGGGGCATTGATGGTGAATGGTGATGACAAAGAAAAGGATATTGGGTCCAAGAAGGGCGATCATCAACCGAAGGCCAAAAAGATCATTAAGCGTTCTAAGTTTCCAAATGACGGCAAGGGCAATAAGCTAAACAGCCATTTGCATCATGCAGGAAATAATGCCATTCAGAAAGAGTTGAAAACAAAAAAGAACAATGGCAAGAAAGGAGGAGAAGTACGAGCCGAAAAGCAGTTACTGAGAGAGCAAATTATGGGTATGCTTAAGGGTGCAGGCTGGACAATTGAATTTAGGCCCAGGCAAAACAAGGAGTACAGTGATGCAGTTTATGTTGATCCTAAAGGAGGGAGTTATTGGTCAGTCACCCTGGCTTACCATAAGCTCAAAAAACAAGTTGAAGAAGGTGAGGCTGATAGTAAGGCCATTTCTTCATTTATTCTGATTCCAGAGGAGGTTCTTAGCAAGTTATACAGGATAACAAAGAAACGAAAGAAGGGACTAAAAATTCTGAAGCAACAGGGGATTGGTGGAAGCAAGATTAGCAAAGGAGTCACCAGAAAGAAGTCAGCAAAACATAAGAATGCAACAGAGAACATCAGTGATTCAAGTGACAAAGAGAAACCAAGTTCTGTGATGAAGTTGGAGACTAAGTCACAAAACAGAAGAATGAATGGAAAATTGTTGCACCGAGAACAAGATAACTCATCTGCAAAGCCAAGCAGGCGAAGATCAAATCAGGAAGACAGACAAGATAGGAGGCGATGTGCTCTTTTGGCTCGTAGCTCTAAGAAGGGGTTGGACAGTGAAGGCTTTATTCCATATAATGGGAAACGTAGTCTTCTTACTTGGATGATTGATTTAGGAACTGTCCCTCTGGGTGGGATGGTGCATTATATGAATCGTAGAAAGAAAAGAGTATTGCTTGATGGCAAAATCACCAGAGACGGCATTCACTGTGGCTGCTGTGATAAAATCCTCACTATTTCAAAATTTGAGTCTCATGCCGGAAGTAAACTGTCTCGGCCATTTCCAAATATATATTTGGAATCCGGAAATTCCCTGCTGCAATGCTTACTGGACTCGTGGCATAAGCAAGAGGAGTCTAAGTGCATTGGCTTCCATCGTGTTGATGTCAACGGTGATGACCCAAATGATGATACGTGCAACAAGTGTGGAGATGGTGGGAACTTGATTTGTTGTGATGGTTGTCCATCAACATTCCATCAAAGCTGTTTAGATATCCAGGTATGGATGCATCACCTCATTTTATATAGGTTTATAGGTCATTTTGATTACACAAACAAACAATTTTGCCCGTCTTTATCTTTCTTCATTCATGGAATGCCTAAAGGTTAAGTCTTGTTTTTCCTTGTTACTTATAGCACCTTCAGGGGTTGTTTATTTCAGGTGATGCAATGAAGCAGTTCTGGAGTGGGATATTTAAAGTAGATGCCCTTATTTCTTGCCTAGTTTGTGCTAGCAGTGTCTCCATTCTCGGGGTCTTTCATGATATAATTTTGTAACATGCTTCATGATATTTAGAGGCTAGAATAGTGATGTTTTCATAGCTTGTTTAGGTGTGCAAATAAATGGGCATGGCTTTTGTTCAATAATTGCCAATAGGGAACTATGCTGAGGCTCTAGATGATGTATGGCTTGTTTCTTAGGTTTAAAAGTCCTATTTCAAGCTCCTATAAAACTAGCTTGCTCAGTTTTTTTATCAATCTTTATTTAATATATAACAAGTAGGTGTGTATTAACTCAATATGATCAATTAAGTCTATATGAACCATTTATTTATTTTTGATAAGTCAGTCGATATGATAACCATATAGACCTTAATTAATTTTTCGCAAATTAAGTCAATACTCAATACAATAATTAGGTCAATATGATAAATATCTGTTAGACCAATAGCGGGAAAGCATGGAATCAAAGTCAGGCTAGCAAAAGTCACTCTAGGCCTTGCCTTTGGGTTCCATGGGCCTTATTTAGGCTCTCTCCTCGATTTCTGACCTACCTGGATGAGTGTGCCATGACACATGCATCATAGATGGACCAATACCTGAATGCAGTTGGTGAATTCATAAAGTTTACAACCATATTCCCTGTACAGCTACACAGGTCTATAGATTAAGGCCACGGGCACTCAAAGCAAATTACTGAGCTGAACTTATGTTTAGAAATTTTCATTTTTGATTCTGCAATATAATGTTACCAAAAATTAATCAAATGGGAATAGCATTCGGCTACACATTGAGATATTTCATTGTTATGTACATGTAAACACATCTTTGTTTAGATTCCTACTCGTAAATGGGGAATTTATTTATTTTTCTTTGCATCACAGAAGTTCCCTTCTGGTGACTGGCACTGTGTGTATTGTTCATGCAAATTTTGTGGGACCTTCGGCAAGAACACATGTCAAAGGGATGATAATGATGATATACCTGTCTCTACACTACTCACGTGCCGCTTGTGTGAGGAAAAATGTATTTACTTCCTTTTCATATTGCTTCAATTTGTTTATTGTGCTTGGCTTCCCATTTTCTTCTCTATTTTATTACAAAAGGGGTTGTTTTGGCTTTAAGTACTGAAAACTTTTTGCTGTTGTAGACCATCTACTTTGTGTTCAGGGGAAGGATGCAATACACCTTGAATCCAATTGTCCATCCTTTTGTGGGAAGATATGCCAAGAGGTATAATGTCAGTGACATAAATGTTTTGTGTAGCTTAAATATATATGTATCCTGTCTATAGAGTTTTTTTGATTGTTGTTTTGCAGTTGTCATTGAAGTTATTTGAAATACTCCCTATATATGTTCTATGACACTTCGTACCTATTGTATATAGTATCTGCGATATTGATCAGGTCTTATTGTCTTTCCCTCCATTTGACTGTGGCTGGAACTCTTTGCAGCATGTTACTCCCATGTACTAAGATTTTACTGATAGTCTGACACAACAAAAAACTGTTTAGATGAACTTAGCATACTTAATTATATTATAGCAAATTTATTGACAGTATTATTATTTAAGAATTTAAATGTGTGTGGCTAACTTGTTGAGTTTTGTAGAAAGCTACAACTTGTTAATTAAGTTCAAAGTGTAATTTAGGAAGGGCACAGTTGACAAACTCTGGTTCTGATTTTTGAAGTAGTTCAGCAGCACAGAATAATTTACTCAATTGACAGAACAAATAGGAAATTGTTTCTGATAGTGGGTGATTATTGATGAGGCATACCTATTAATAATTTTCACCAAGTGCTTCGTTTTAGCTTTGTTGTGTTTTGTTTTTGTTGAATGAAGCACTCTATGTTTGGCCGCCTTAATTTCCCAAACTATCTCTTAGTTTAGCCTTTATGTGTCATGCCCGGAACCATAGGGTGAAAACAAATAAAATACCTTCTCTGATACCATTTATATCATACTCATCTTCAAATTCAAAATCTGTAGAGAACACATGTAATCACAAGAATCCTTACATATTCATGAAAAAAGATACAACAATTGATCCCATCCTCACTTACATCAAAATCCTCAAAAGAAAATTGTTCCAAGCAATTTATTGAACACTTAATATACATAAATAAGGTAGTCTCCAAACACAAAATTCAGCAACTCCAGAATCCTCCATTTGATCCTTGGTACCTGAAAAGTGTTGGGTGAGACAATTGCCCAGTGGGAGAAACACTAAGAAGTGGTCCTAAGAGGTTTTATGCACGTTACACGCATGGTATCCAAGTAAAACAGAGCCATTTGCATAGGAAAAATATACAATTTCATGTTAAAACCAATTTAATGACAGGATAAAAAACCTAGGGTATTACATTATGTCTATTTATAGGGGCAGAATTGCCAATCAAAGTGAAACTGTATTTTTGGCCTCACATTCCACATTACCCCCTGACATTTAATTTGTGAAGAAGAGATCTGTTTAACAATTGATAAATAATGCATAGCACGGTCCATTTTGATTTTGTTGTAGTGCCAGTGTGCCTAGTTATGAATAGAGTGATTGTGAGTTTTATATTGTGATATATTTTGTCTCATCTTGTGTTTCCTAGTTTTTTTGGTTTTATTCTTTCCTTATTGGAAATGTATTTTTCCACTTGCCACCAAGCCTTTAGCTCAAGTTGCATCTCCGCCCCTCGGCCCCCTCCAACAAGAGAGGTCAAGGATTAATTTGGGTTACCATTAGAACAATAGTGGGGGTGTGTATACACATTAAAAGTTTCTCCTTCTGGCATTTTGGTAATTTATTATATATATTTTTTCTTCGTATTTCCTATTTTCTTTTTCTTAGATGAATCCTGATAGTTGGTACTCAGTCTTTATGAGTCTTTGTTGTTTATAGAAATGAATTTAATATGTTCTTTTTTGATAGCTCTTTGAGCGGCTACAGATGCTTTTTGGGGTTAAACATAAACTGGAAGAAGGATTTTCATGGACTCTTATTCAGCATTCTGATGTTAGCGGAGATATATCTCTTAGGGGTGTTTCTAAAAAGATAGAGTGCAATTCCAAGTTGGCTGTTGCATTGTCCATCATGGATGAGTGTTTTTGCCCAATTGTTGACCAGAGAAGTGGGACCAATATGCTTCATAATGTTGTCTATAGCTGCGGGTGAGCTCTCTTGAACATAGTTTTTCTTAAAGCACTGTAATATAACTGACAAGTGAAGCTGAAATTTTTGAAATTCATTTTTATTGTTTTTGAAAATAATCTTGAGTTTTGGGCTTTAACGCGTCACTTTTAGGTGATTGTATGTAGCGCAAATTTTCTAAATTATTGTTTGTGAATGTTCAAGTTGGATTTGCGTCAGTGTTTCCAGATATAGAAACTTTGAACTGATGATTGAGTTAGCTTCTTATTCATATTTTGTTAATATTTGATTGATTGAAGGTGGCTGCTGATGAAAACATAAGCAAAGAGGAAAAAAAAAATTTCGCTTCCATGTTAGTCTTTCTTTGAGGCCTAGTTTGGTGTGATGGAATGGGGGTGGAATGGAATGACCATTCCACTTTCTCATTCCTTTCTCTTGTTTGGTGTGCCACTTTAAAAGTGGAATGGCCATTCCTCTTTTGGACTTGTGGAATGGTCAGTCCATTCCCACTAAATTAAAATAATAAAATGCAAAGACCAAATCACCAAAAAAAACCCATACGCATTCTTTTCTACAGATCTAGCTGACTCTCTCTCATCTCTCCTCTCTCATTACGCGATTGTACACCCTCTCTCTCTCTCCTCTTTCTCTCTTCACACTTCACTGTATACCATGGAATATATATATATATATATATATATATATATATATATCTCCCTCTCTGATTCAAACGATGCAATTGTTGAAGATTTTGTTATTAAAACTTTCAAAGAACGTCGCCGAAGAAGATGATCGGAAAATTTGTCGGGCGAGTGAGATCTAAGGATGTTCTCCGGCGGCGACGCCTCCCCTCTGTTCGATCACCTTCCAATTCGTCCTTATCTCGGGAGTCTAGTTGAGAAATTCCGTAATATGGAGCACTTTCCAGACGACGATGATGCTGGCAATGTTGAGATTGATGGTGATGTTGGAGAGAGTTTGGGGCTAGAGATCAATTGAACAAGAGGAAGACAATCCATAACCACTCTTTCCTAGTTTCATGTTTGGTAAGACGCCTCTGACGATTGGGCAAAGAAGCAAGACGAACTGGAGCCCTAATTTGCCAAGTCTTCAACCTCATCCTTCCTTTTCAATTCTTTTTTCTTGTCTATTTTCTCTCTCTATCTCATCTATTTTCTCTTTTAATTTTTACCGATGTTAATTTTTTTAGTTAATTTTTTTTTACTAATAATAAAATATAATTTAAAGAAACAATATAAATTCATTATATTCTAACTTTCTTACCAAATAGTGGAATAAGAATGAGCATTCCATTTTTACACATTCCATGTTTGCAACCAAACGGTAGAATAAGAATCATCATTCCCATTGCATTCTCACTCCATTCCCACCTCCATTCTCATTCCATTCCAATTCATTCCACCACACCAAACTAGCCTTGAGGGAAAAATAGAAGTAGCAAGGAGTCACTTTGATGTTTCATTCTTCTATGAGTTTAATAATGTACTTCTTGTTGAAGATGAAAATATGGTTAAACATTAAATTGACGTACCTTTCAGTTTCTTTTTCCTAAATCCTTTTCTCATAGAAGTTTTAAATTACAAAATTCATATGAATTTTGCTCCAGAGTCCAGACCTTAAGATTGAAAGAATGCTACTCAAGTAGCAGGTATAACAACACAACCATTGCATGGAAACCTGATCTGATGAATATTTTACTCTATTTTTTTACATTAATGCTGCATGAATTTGCAAGTTTCACTAGATGGCATGGAGCATCCTGTTTAAAGTTTGTGAATTTGGTACTGCCATCTTAAAATTATATGCTATTGATGGGATCATGTACATATCTGTGTACATATTGCATAATCTTTTTTCTGTTGGATTCAATTTCTGCCCCTAAAAAAATGCTGATGGGACTCTGTGAGATGATCACCAATAAAATCTTGTATCTTTTTGTGAATTTGTTGCTAGGTCAAACTTCAATCGGCTGAATTACAGTGGCTTCTTAACTGCTATTCTAGAGAGGGGTGATGAATTTATCTCGGCAGCATCTATAAGGTTATCTTCCCCAACTTTTTGCAGTTAAATTATCAATGCATAATTTGTGTTCAAACACTAGAATTCTATAGGTTAAGAATGTGATAACTTTGGATGTCAATTATTTTGTGAGCCTTAATTTTACGTGCTGGCACAGGGTTGAAGTTCATCACTTTGAGCATGGTATTTAAGTTTATAAACCAGAATGTTTTTTAACTTTTACTTGGTTGATTATCTTCCGTTTCTTTTGGTTTTTATGCTTTCATTGTCTTGAACTTTGTTCCTTTGAAGAAAAATATGTATAATATTCAAGCAGACCAAGGGGGGTGCAATCCATTTATAGTCTGAGGGTACAAAAGCTCCTTCTATAAAATTAAATTCTCTTACGAAATCTATAAAAGAGCGTAAATAATCTGTAAATGTCTGGATAATTAAAAATGAAAATTATGTTATGTTATATCCTTTATCCTATGAATAGACAGATCCATTTATGCAGATGTACAACTATTCCTATTCTCTCCACATGCACCAGAAAAGATAAGGTGCCATCTACACGAAGTCAGACAGTCGGGCTTTTTTGGAGACAACCATTAGCACAACATCCCAGGAGCTGCTTCACCGAAGGGCATAACTCAGAAAACACCGGAGAGAACAATGTGCACATGTACTTAGACGGTTAGACCCGGAACAACGAAGAGATGATCGTATTCTGTTTGGCATTCTTTCACATATTTTTTGAGAAGTTTTTCTTGTCTGAGTCTGACCATCACTTTCCTTCTTCCTTTTCCCACCCACAACACCTCCACAAAGTACACCATCAACTGCATTTTCACCACCATTTCTTGCCGCTACCCTAGAATGTAAAACCATACCAACCACCTTAATCTTACCCTCCAAAGAGGCAAAGACACCTCATTAGTCTTCTCTTTATTATGCCCAATCATCCTCGTAGCATACAGAACTCTCCACCCTCCTTTTTCTGTCCCGTTGCGCTCCCCCACAGTTAACTCTACCTGTATCATTATCAGCATTGGCATCCACGTCTGGTGATCCAATTTTCCTCTCCTCAGTTTTTCTTTCTAGGGAACAAATCGACGAGTCTTTAACATAATCCAAATCAACTGTCATTTTTTCTCCTTATCCCCATCGCATTCAGAACTCTCCACCCTTTTTTTTCCTCCCCCGACGCAGTCTCCCTGATTTTGTCTTAACTGTTTTGGAATCAGCATTGGCGTTGACACCAGCATCCTCATTGGCAGCAGCATGCGCATCTTCTTCAAATCCCACATGTTCACACCCACTCTCTTTCCCCTCAAATTTTCTTTCTGGAGAAGAAACCAACAAGCCTTTAGTAGAGTCCTAATCAGTTGAATTCAAGACCGACCCTTTCGGCTCCTCGTTACCATCAACTGTGTCTGAATCAACTTTATCCTTCTCCGACAACTTCTCCAACAAAGTACTGGATCTCATCCATAGTTAATATAGTTCCTGAGGCACTGTTCAAAAAAATTAGAAACCTTCTGAGATACCTCACTTCAATATGTCAATCCAAAAACACCCGAGGCTCTCTCCTCTACCTAGCATCCTACGTAACAATGTCACGATGGACTATCCTGATTCATTAGGACACCATCTTTGAATATCCTGTGGGAACCATTTCACACGTTGAAATGATGCATGCACAGAGGCACACACTCAGTTTTCCCATCTTGAAGAGCCCTGATGAAATCAGGCTCCCAACTCTCATTCGGGCTACTAAAATGAACCAAAAGCTGTTGACTCCAAAGACTAGGGTTTGGTTTTTATTCCCGATGAGCACCGTGTACCCTAGCTAGTGAAGGTGACAAAGCTTAATCGACTCGAAGGATAGGTGATAAGATGACAGATAAGATAGCTTACCTAGTACTACTTTTCTTGAAGGAATGAGAAAAGAGGAAGGTGGAAGCTGTCATTACCTGGGCAGTTTGAATGGACAGAAAGTAGCTCCTTGAAGCTTTACTAGTAGGGGAGCTTGAGCTCCTTATTGTCTTTGTTTGTTCGTTGAGTGGCAGGACACTGCCAGCGTGTTGAATCTGTTACTGTTAGCTGAGATATGATATGCTAGAATCATGAATGTAACTTAAGATATGATAGGCTAGAATAATGTGATTTGACTTTATTTACGCATATGTCTAGGTATAGAACATGCAATGATTTTATTCGATTTCCTTTTTCGTAAATATTAACATGTGCTCTTTAGTATATAAATACCAGAGCTATGAATCAGTGTTTAAGCCTCATTCAAGCCTTTACATATTCTGATTCTCATTCAAGCATTTACATATTTCTTTTGCTTTCTTCTATTTTGTTTTTTTTCTTAGTATCGGAGCCAGGGTGGTCCAACCGCAACGAGGACATTGCGAGTTCGGCATCACCCATTCAGGAATGGTATGAGGAGACGTTGATGGTTTGTGGTCTGAGGAGACATTGGCGGTTCTTCTGTCTACATATTTTAAACATATGTGTGAAAGGGAATGGTCTGAGGAGACATTGTTGATTATTTATTGTTTGAGGAGACATTGTTGATTCTTTCATCTACATATTTTAAACATGTGTACGAAGGAGAGTGATCTGAGGAGACATTGTTTTTTCCTAGTTGGTAGTCACCCCCCACCCCCCCTCCCCTCTTCAAGGAATTGTTTGCGGACCCAAGAGGATTCAAACCTTACACCTGATGCTTCACAAGGTACTCGGGCCAAGTTCTTATCCCCTTGAGCCAACTCCTTGGTTGTCTGAGGAGACATTTGTTGATTCTTCCATCAATAAATTTTAAACATGTGTACGAAGGGAAGTGGTCTGTGGAAACGGTAATGGTTGTTTATGGTCCGAGAAGACTTGGTTGGTTGCTTATGGTCTGAGGAGACATTGTTAATGGTTTATTGTAGATAAGACATCAAAATTTTTTTTTCTTACTTGTCAAAAAAAAAAAAAATTTGTATTGGCTAGTCAATTTAATGCAGCCAAACATAGTTGTTGGCTATATATTTATAAAGACTGTATTTGAGGTTGCATTGTCTAAGTTGGGCGTCTCAGATATCCACACACCAACTTGAGGGGGAGTGATAGCTGAGATATGAAATGCCGGAATCATGAATGTTACTTACCATATTAGCCAAGATATGGTAGTCTAGAATCATGGGATTTGACTTCATTTACGCATATGTAATATTAATATGTACAATGATTTTATTCAGTTTCCTTTCTTGTAATATTAATATGTGCTCTTTTTAGTATATAAATACGAGAGCTGTGAACGAGTGTTTAAGCCTCATTGAAGCCTTTACATATTTCTCCTGTATTTCTTCTATCTCGTATTTCTTCCGTTACCTATTCCAGATAAGCCATACGAACTTCATCATTGGATTACCAAAGGTGAAGGATTTTGGGTTGATTATGGTGATCGCTGACTGCTTTTCCAAGTATGCTTGAAAGTCATTTGTGAAATGAAGGTGATCTGGAAATTTAACTTTCAGGGGCTGTCCCACACCAAGTGTCATTTCATAACCTCACCTGTCAGCCAACCCCCATCATATAACCAAATGTTTTGGAAAACTTCCTCCAACCTTTTATGATCCCTTCTCGAGCCCTTCACCGCAAGAGCATGCAACTTCCTTCAATATCCAACCCCAATTACCATAACACCCTCAAGTTTCACCTCCACTTTCACTTATCAAAAAAACTCCACTTTCCACCACATATTATCTTCTGTCCACCTCGAACCCTTATCTACTGTCCCTCTAATTGTCTTGGTCAAGATTTCTAACAATATAATAAAAAGAAGTGGGGAAAGGGGGTCAATCGTTTCAGTCTCCTCGAGCTTGCAGAAAGACAAACTGTGGTTGCATTCACTAGAGTGGAAAAACAAACTGTCAGGCTTGCTCCTCCACACACACATATCTTTTGGAGGACTAGTTGGAGCAATAGGAGATGATATTAGGGGATTTGACATTTCAAAATGATTCTTCATGGATTATAGGGCAGTAATTGGCTGGTGATGATGTTTTGGATGTACTTAATTTTTTTTCCCTAGTTGGATGTACTTAAAATTAAGAAAGGTTCGAGCCTCTGGGTAAACAATTTCTGTGCCCCCGGCGCGGGGGGGGGGGGGGGGGGGATGTTTGAGTATCAACTAGGAAAAAAATAAATAAGAAAGGTTACATTTTTTCAAGGATTTAGGATTAAGAAAATTGAATATCTCCTTATATATATTTTTGATGAGCAATTGAGCATTGTTCGAATATCACGGGATCTGGAAAATAACATGTGTAATGGGTTGTCTGATAAGTTTGTGCATCCATTACTTTTGAATATATATATATATATATATATTGATTGGTAACTATTGTTATATATGCTGACCTAATATACATGTTCTAACTTCTTTAATCAAAAGGAATTGGGTGGTGTTGTGCTTTTGAGCATCTTCACATTGAAAAATTTGGATTTTGGACTACTGTGTATAATCAAAATCAGTTTTGATGTGTGCTTTTTGGAGAATCTTTTTCAGGAATCATTAGTTTAATACCTTCTACACTCTCAATGCCACAAGGGCATTGCTTGGCCATGAAGGCAGAGATTAATTCTCTTTTTAAACTATTAGCCACAATTTAAAGATATTGTCACTAAGGGTCTTTGGAGATGTTACTTCATGGGTGAGTAAAGGATTGAAAGGTACTTGGGTTTATATGCTGCGTGAAAGCGATATTGGACTTTGTTACTTTTTCTCGATTTCAACATTCAGCCAGTTTAGAGGCTGACAGAGGAACTTCAATTTAATGGCTTTTATGAGTCACTTATGTTGTTCATTGTGTTGGATCTTGTTGTTCCAGTTTCAATTTTCTTGTAATGATAGATTCATCATTTACTTGTTGGTATGCCAATTTTTAATCTAAATTTCTCTTCTTGTAGTATTGATTTTTTAATAATCGTTCTACATTATCAGTTCATAAAAATAGAATTTTCATTTATTTGTGTACATATAC